TGAATGGATAACGCTCTTACTCAACTCCTCCAGCTTCTTCATCCTCAATCTCTCGCTTTCGCTCACCAGCTGTTCAAATAATCACCAAATGCAAACACATTGACAATTAGAAAAAAGAAAGTCTTGACTAAATATAATTAATCAGCAATGCTACACATTTAGAATTTTTACTTAAAAGAAGTGTCCAAAATTTAAATTGCGACACTTAATTTAATTAACAAAAATCTATAAATCCAAAAATTTTATTCAAAAAAAGTGTCCAAAATTTAAACTGTATGGATCATATTTATCTTGGTTGGGGTCCACACCATGTCAAATTCAAATTTACACCATACATTCAATTCTAGGTGTATGCATTTTTCATTAAGAAATGCACTGGATTATATGCTTATGTTCCAAGTAAGAAACAAGAATATTAATAACAAACATGAAGCTAATTACCTCCATCAATCTGGTAATTAGCTGTACTTTTTCCTTGTTCTTGTCATTGAAAGCCTCAAGAGCTTCTTTGTACTCTTTCTCCTGTGACCAACAAAAAACTCAGAAGTTTGATCAAATTTCTTACATAATCAATTAATCAAACTACTAAATTCAAACATGTTTGGATTTTCACCATATATGTAATTGCGAGATACTTTTCAGGATAGGTCCCTTCTACCAAAATAATTTTGAATTTAATAGTTGAAAATGTTTTTACCTTCTTCTGACAAGTTTGCCCCAATGGCTTCAAATCCTTGTTGACCGAGTCGATCTTCTTACGAACAAGTGAGACTTCTTTCTTCATTGGATCTGTTAGTGCCTCAAGCTCCTGCCAGATTTGCATTTGAGTTCAAACAATTGTTGAAGGCAATTCCTAAGCATATATCTAATACACACCGCTTAAGCAATTTATATGAAACATTACATAACATGCCAACCACCACTAACATGGAATAATTTTACTTTTGACATGCTAATTGGGTCAGCTTGATCAAGACAAAGGATCATTTATCACCAAAATTTCTATTTTTTTTTTATTCTAATACAATTCAAATATACGATCATGCATTGAAATTCTCACCATCATACAATTGAAAGTGCATTAATATTGAAATTTGCGAACAGATATAGCAAATGATATAGTTATTGCAATTATAACTAAAATTAAAATTATTATTATTATTATTTTCTATCAAAAGTTGATGGAAAATACATCACCTCGTTGTTGTCAAAATTTTTAAGTACAATAAAATTTGAAGTAATATGAAAACGAAATTTATTGTGACTAATTTTACAAATATGGTTTCTCGTTTGACGATTATATCATTCTTTTCCCTTCAAAATTTGATGAAAGAAACAAACTTCGGTTTTCTTTTCTTCCAAAATTCTAATTTGTACACAAATAGTAAAAATGAAACCCATAAATTAAGTGACTAATTCTACAATTATGGTTCTCTTAAATTCTTGAAATGACAATAATATCAATCTTTTTCCCAACAAAAACCAAAGCTACATGAAAACCTTGATCTCCTTGTTCTTAACTACTGTTTTAGATCACATATACTAACATGCATAATTTAGTATCGTAGTTGAACGACAACACACAAATCAGACACAATACACAATAGTGTGACAGATTTCTATGTTCCTTTTTTTTTTTTTTTCTCCAGATAGTTATGTTCCTATTAGAATTAATCATACAATTATGTATGTACTACCTCGCGAATAGTAGATAGACGTCGGCTTTCTTCTTCAATGCGTCCCAAGTGAGCCTGAACTCTCTCTCTAACCTCAAGTTTCTTCTTCTCGATCTCTTCTTCCTTTGCCCTAAACGTAGAGAGAGCCGACTTTGACATCTCTTCGTCTTCTTTTGTTAGGGTTCCGTTGAAGCTTAGACTTCCAGAGATTTGCCCTGATTGTGTGAGTGCTTGTTGCTGTTGTTCATATGCCTGCCTCTGTGTTTGCATCATCTTTCTCTCTCTTCTCGGAAACCCTTCTCCCTTGAATTTCCTCCCTCTCTCTCTCTCTCTCACTCTCTCTCTCTCTCTCGCTTTTGCTTTGGAATGATGGGTTCTCTCTCTCTGTCTCTCCTGTTTGCAGGTGCTTATGAACAAGGCTGGCCTTGATGTTTAAAGTTTCTCAAGCCAAGCTTTGCTTTTCTTTATGGCCTACAAAAGAAAAAGAGTAAATATATGTATAGAAATATATTACAAAAGCATAAGCTGAAGTGAAATGACCCAACTGCCAAGCACTCATGAAAAAAAAAACAAAAAACAAAAGGAAAAAAAAGAAAAGAAAAGAAATGAATGGATAAGAATTCACCTTTAGAGAATTAATAAGACTGACTGAGCAAATTCAAAACTTGTCTCAATTATTCATGAACCCCACTTCATATGTGTATATATATACTTCTTCTTCTTATTTTTTATTTTTATTTTTATTTTTATTGCTAACGAAGAAATGGTAAATTATAAATATATTTTTGAGATTTGTTTAAAATATAATTTTTTTTATAGTTTTAGAAATTATATCCCGTTCATTGAAGTTTTTTATTTTATAAAAATGATCTATTTTATTAATAAATTATAAAGTTAATTAACAGTTTTTAATGATGCCATAAATTTATTTTAATTAATAATTCAAGAAATTTTATCATTATATAAGAGAGTGTTTACGAATTTTAATAAAAAATTCTGATAAAGAGATATTTATAATTTTTTAAACTATAAAAATAATATGTATTTTAAGTAAATATCAAAGAATATATTTGTAATTTATCCAAAAAGAGAAAAGAAAATGAAAGAAAATAAAGACAATAGTTAAGTGTTAGTACATGTACCCGTACAACTTGGTGCAGCAGAAATACAAACAATAAGACCTTTTATTGTGGTGTTTTATTATGTATGGAATTTAAGGGTTGGTTTGGGGTGTCCTAAAAAGTGTATTTTTTGTCTTTTTATGAAAAGATGTGCAGAAAAGTAGAGAGGTGATGTGATGGAAAAAAGATAAAAAGATAAAAAGATGGATTATATAAGTTATGCCAAACGAGGCCTAAGTTTTTGTTTCGCATTAGTTTTTTTAGTTAGTTTTTTTGTGTTGAGAATTTTTTAGTCTAATTTTTTTAGTCTCGTTTGATTTGGTTTTTTTAAGAGAAAAAATGTAATAATTATGATTTGAATATGATATTTTTTCTTATTAGCTTATGTACCTAATTTTGTTTTTTTGTGCTTTTTTAGTCAAAAATCTAAAACCAAATGAAACTTAATGTGGATAATTTTCATGATATTTTTTTCATGATACTTAATATTACTCAAACTTTTAACACCTCACAAAAAAAAAAATAATAATAATAATAAAAAATGATAGATTTATATTATAGGGTTGTTTGGGATGACCTAAATAAGTACACTTTTTATCTTTTTACGAAAAGATGTACAAAAAAATAGAGAAATGATGTGATGAAAAAAAGATAAAAAGATGAATTATTTCTCATATGCCAAACTTGGCCTATGACATGGAAAATTTGTTGAGAGATGCACATGGATGTACGGTGTACCATCTGTCATTGTAATGAAGGTTAATTCTTAAGTTGGTACAGTGGCAATTCCAACTTGCCTGTCATACTTCTTTCACATGGGGTTGGCTCACTCACGCAATTAATCATAATATAGTTATATTCATCATATATATAAATTAATATAAATATGTTTTGTACAGTTTGTAATTCAGTAATCCAGTTTGTTAACTATACCTTTTTTGCCGGCCTAGGGAGCAAACAGCTTGGCATATAAACAGTTGATTAGTGTATATGTATCTGTCTATATAGCTTTTAACAGGTTGTATTTTTGTAGCAATTGGATTTGGATCTTTATGCGTAGATGTTAGCTACTGCTGTTATGCATCTTACTATGAGTATAACATCAAATTAGCACATGGATGCCTAGAGGTATATATTATACAAAACTGTAATTTGTAAATGAACCTAACTCTCCTCCAGTCCACTTTATCCAGTCCAGCTTGTGTTGCTCACCACGACCCTACTTGGATGATCTTTTCTGTTTAGGTTTTTAGGTTTTAGTGTGTAAATTATCAGTCTAAAAAACTAGATTGATTTGATAACTATATATAGTAATGCAATTTTATCGTTTTTGTATTTATTTTTTTTTAAATGAATGATTTGTTTTTAAATTCATACGTGTTTATTTTTTCAATATATAAAGACAATTAAATTACATGACTCGTGAATGATCTATCCATTGAAATTTTGAAAAATAAATGACATAGATCATTGAAGTAGGATTCTTGATGAATTTTTTTAAGTCGTAATAAATAGTAGTGGATTGGAAAGGAGTTAGGTCCTTTAAAAAAATAAGTACAAAAATATATTACCAGATCAGCAATGCTAGGTATCATGAAAAGTCTTTCATGAAAATGATCATGAAAGATTTGTGACCTTTAGATTACACTTACCACACAGTAATCAAGATAATCTAAGGGTCACAAATCTTTCATGATCATTTGCATGAAAAAATTTTCATGATCCCTAACATTTCTCTTACAAGATTTATCTAGTATATCTAGTAAGAAAAAAGTTTGGTATGGAGCAAATAGTTTTGTGTACAGCATGTTAGGGCACGGAATTTTCGCCATTAATAAGTGTAGCCGTTATGTGAGCCCACAAATCAATAGCTAATTTAGGAATAAATCAATACAAGAAAAAAAAAAAATTTAAAAAAGTAGGTAAATGGACAGCACCACCAGCAGAAGCGGCTTAAGCTTAATCTTTTGACAAATATGCTACCTTTTCCAATAAGGCTTTAAAGGAAGAATCTCCTTTTTAATATGTATCTAGAAATTTATTTATCAACTTATATTTTTTATTTGAGAAGTTAATTATTTTAATAGGTTATTTTAATTTTTGATTATTTTAGTAAGTTAAAATTTTTGTGTTTGGAAAAATAGTTAGATTTTTTTTATTTTTTATTTTTTTTGTGATTGACTTTGATGTTTATGAAAGAAAAAGTGAAATGATCCTATGTTTGATGTGATATTTTGTATTATTAGATATTTTAGCCTATTTTATTTTTTTTGTTAATTTTAACCTAAAAAATTCAATTTTAACTTTTGCCAAACAAGACGTATATATTTTATCCTTTTTCTGTTATTTATTTTCTTAGCCCTTTATTTTTATTGGTATGATTGAGTCAAGTTGTACTTTACTTATTCTAAAATGACATAATCACAATAAGTTAATAATGGGTCTGTCTAGCTTTTTCCTTTATGTGGGAGGACCATTTCAACTATTGACTCATTCAAATTTTCAGAATTTGAACGGTCATGATCGTACGACCAGGTTATTCTGGCCCTAGGAATCTAAGATGGGGTCATCCATCAACGGTGGGCGTTCAATGAACGTTATATATTGCAGCCCCCTCGCGTGCTACGAAATTGCTGATTAGTCCAATTAAAATATATATTAATAAAAGCATCAAAGATACGAACTTTTTCTTACGCTGTGTTTGGTTGGAAGATTTGAGGAAGGATTTGGAAAGGGAAAGGGAAAAGTTAGGTGAAATGTGAATAAAATGTACCTACATTTCACCTAGTTTCACACACCTTTTCCCTTTCTCTTTCCAAATCACTCAACCAAACACAGCATTAATGAACAAAGCATATACATTTAATTTCAAGGTTGTGTTTGTGAATTTAATGATTCGTTGTGTCAGACCAACTAATTCATGTATTATTTAATACGTTTGGCGTGTAGCATATATGGTACATGAGATGAGCAGTGTTTAGAAATATAAAATTTATGTACCAAAAAAAAAGCAATATAAAATTTGAAACATAAAAATAATACAAGATGTGAAACAAATGTGAGTCTTTCCCTTTATTTCACGTTTTTAATTTTTTGTGTTATTTAGAATGATCTAAATAAGTATATTTTTTAATTTTTTATAAAAAGATATACAAAAAATTAAAGATGGGATATGACCAAAAAAATTAAAAAAAAATTAAAACATCCAAATAAATTATCTTATTAGAGTTTTCATACTAGATACATTACAAATGTGTCTTCTTTTTTACTCCTAATACGATTGCTCACTTATTGCGCGAGCACGCGGCCCACTGATAAGCATGGAAGTATCAAGTGATTTCTCCAACTCCAAGATAATTTCTTGGGAAAATTATAATTAGTGAGAGTGAGACAAATATTTATTAAAGGGTGAAAATCTTCTTGGAGTGCAACTTTTGCTATGTTTTTCTATATAAAAATAATTGATAGCAAAAATTGCATTCCCATATATTTGTAATTATTTTTTAGATAAATTTAAAAATTTAAGGTTTATTTTATACATGACTCAAACTCTAATTTTTTTTTTAATAATTTGTCCTATTTTTTATTATCTGATTTGTAATTTTTCTTAATTTCTTATGTGGAGCTCAATTGTCATAGAGGGTGTGTTTGTTTTGAAGGATTAGGGGGTGAAATTAGACCATTAATCCCACAGAACTAATAGTCTATTGTTTGTTTCATTTTTTTTGCTCTGGACTAATAGTCTTCCCGAACTATCAGTCCCGCAATTATGGGATTATCCTATCCCATGGGAGGAGATGGGATAGAAATCATAGGATTGGTATTCCATGGGATTATTTTGTGAAATGTCCATTTTGCCCTTCATGCTATTACTTAGCAAACAATTAGAAAATGATAAAATAGTCTTTTGAACATTTATAAATTATTTTTTTAGTGTTGTTAATTTAAAATTATACATTAAATAAAAAATTTTAATTATAAATTATAAATTATGGCCTTATAAATTAAATTTTTTTAGTGTTGTTAAAAAATTAAATTTACATATTAAATTAAATTATTTTTTTAGTGCTGTTAATTTAAAATTATATATTAAATAAAAAATATAAATTATAAATTAAATCTATTTAAAAATAATAAATTATAAATTATGGCCTTATATATTAAATTTTTTTTGTGTTGTTGAAAATTTAATTTATATATTAAATAAAATTATTTTTTATTGTCGTTAATTTAAAATTATATATTAAATAAAAAATATAAATTATAAATTTAATTTAATTGAAAATAATAAATTAAAATAATTAAAATATTGTGCAAAAAATAAAATAAAACAAATTTTTATTTAATCTAGTTAA